AGAAGGCAAAAAGAAAACATAAAAGATGAACAAATTCTATGATGCCAAGACTCGAGCCCTGACACACAGTGGAATATGTTAGCATGGAAAGTAATAATCTTAAGTCACTGTTCCAAAAATATTCCCAGGGCTCACAGGGACAGTTCCCACTTAGAGAGGCACAAGAGCAGCAGTGACAGAGCTCTGAGCCACGGGCTCTCACACTCTGTGCTGTGAACATCATTATCTACACACCTAGGGCTAAGGCAAAGTTTTTAAACAGCTGTCACACCTTATCTAAGTGCCAGCACACAACTTTAACAGCCACAGAACAACGATGCCAAACTCCTCTACTTTTTGGTGAGGGGGAGGAAAAAAGGGGCCCACACCCAGCAAGATGAATTCCTGCCCTCACTGCACTGAAGGGCACATCACAGTGATTAGTGAGCTGACCAGGAGAATCACAAGCTTGTGCACAAGCAAAGTAATTCTTAAATGAAAGCAGCAGGGAATAAAAGAAAAAGCTCTGCTGCTAAAGGAAGCTCAAACATACTTTTTTGAACCCAGTCATCCAAGTGCAATTATTAAGCTCTGTTGTTTCTGAATACACTTGGCCTTAAAATATTAACATGTGCTTTTTGTTTTATGGCTCAGACTGCATGAAATGAATTAAATACACCCAAAATGGTATGAGCAATCTCTCAAGCACTAACTAGTTTAACAACTAATCTGCTGCTTTAGTATGAAAGGTAAAGGTTTAGTTTTTCAATCATATGAGGCATCATCCTACAGTTCATGTGTTAGGCATCTCTCCTGTCCACTGGCAACATTATTTGAGGCATGCCTGCAACATTTTCACTTAATTAAAAAAAAAACAAACTAACAAGCAGATGCAAACCACTTCAAATTTTTATATTTTATGCAGCTAGGAGTTCACCTGACTTTTTTGAGAGTTATGAAGGTGAAACTTTAAGGCCAAAATGTAGCAATATCTGCTGCTGCTCAAACTTTGACACAGTATTTATTTATTTTTTCTGGGCAGTAATTAGCCGTGTTGGTTTGCATGTGCTCAGAGTAATGACACACACACACAAATAACACTGCACTTTGTGACTCACTGCCATGCCTTCGCAGAAATTACCTTGCTCACACTCTGTGCCCCAAACACCGTGGGGAGAACTCTCCAGTGGGGACAGCCAAGCCTTGTTTTGTTTTAGCTGAACAATTTATTTCAGTGAACAATCCATGTCTGACTGAAAAGCCATCCAACGCCCCCACCTTTCCTCCCCAAACCTGTATAAATATTTTGTTTCAGCCGAGTTTGAATGGCAGAGTAAATGAGTTTCATCCTTTGTTTCAACCATAACAGTGCCTTGTTTGAAGTTGCTATTTCAAGCTGGGAGAGCTGGGCCTTTATTTTTCAAAGATGTTATTTCCTGAGACCCTTCACTCTGTGAACTTACAGCCGGCTGCCACCACTGGAGCTTCATTGTTAATTGTCTTTTTTAGGGGCACAAATATACAGCCTTTCCTTTCAAATTCAGGATGCCTCTGTTTATTTATGCTGCTGAATGCAAACTCTCTTTGGAGGAGGCATCCCTGGAGCACTGGGAGGAGGTGCAGGGCTCTTCTGGATACCATGAGAGCCCACCAGGCATTTTTGGGGCTCCCAGCAAAGGGCTGCTCCAGGAGAAGAGAGGAAGAAGAGGAGGAGGAGGAGGAGGAGAAGGAACACGTGCACCACAAACCTCCTGAGGCAGAGGAGCTGAGCCAACATGCAGATGAGGGACAGCACAGCACGAGAGGGATTTTCACTGCCCTGTGTGTCCCTGTGTGGCGCAAGAGGAATTCTGGAGGAGTAAGTCACAGCTGCTCTGTCCGAGCTGCAATGCAGCCCTGCCACATACCTGCCTCCTCACATTCCCCCTCCACGCTCCAAACCTCGGCATTTTTAGCATCTTGTTCCCCCTCTTTGTCGTCCCCAGTGAGAAGATGGTGTGCAGGCAGCAGTGGAGCCTTTCCCTGACCATCAGCTGCTGCCCTTCAGCCCTGCAGCTGCTCAGATCAGAAATATGGGGCCAAATAATCCCCTTGGACAGCCATCCATTGCCAGGTACTTCAAAATAATCTACATGGCTCCTTTACCTAAATTCATTACAAGAAAGTAACTCTTCTCCTTATTTCTGAGGCACTGTTGCAGAGAACGGCAGCAAAAAAAACCCAGAACTCACTTTCAGCATAGGTGCCCATTAAAACAAAAAAATTATGATCAAGAAGGACTGAAAAAAGTCTTAACTACGTAGATTACCACAGAAAAGAGAACTTTGCAATGTTTCTTTCTTTATCAGTTTTTTTTTCCTTTTCCCTTCCTAGCTACTTCACTCTTGAGCACCACAGCTAGTTTTCCTCCACTCCTACAAAAAAACAAAAAACAAAACAAAACAAAACAAAAAAACCTGAAAATATCAGAAAAAAAATATCTCAGATGATTGCAGCTAGATGCTGATTCGATTATCCTTAAATTGATACCTAACTCCCCCTTTTGTCTCTGGCTCACCGTGTGCCAAAACACACAGGAACAAAACCACAGAAAATTGTGAGGAGGACGGACAATTCCTAACATAGAACCAAACACACAGGCACGAAACAAAAACCAAGCCAAACCTATTTTTTTCCTTTTGCTCTCTAAGTTAATGATGTGACATTTTGGAAATGAGACATGCAGAGGGGACAGAGAATTAAAGAGGAATTTGGACTGGAGAGGAAAGTTTCAGCTCTCTGCTCTGACCTGCTGGGCTTGCTCTGGGCTTTGGCCACTCCAGATCAGAGACTCCCCCAGGTGAAGCTTTCACTCACACTGGGAATATTCATTCCCAAATATCGAATTGGCATTTTCCCTGCTGCCTCTGTGCACCTCTGGAGGAGCCTGGCTTTCCCTTTGCTCCAACCTCCCATTAAGGAGTTGAAATTAGCAATGAGATTCCCCATTAGCCTGCTTTTCTCCAAACTAATGAAACCCAGCTCCCCAGCCCCTCCTCATACATCATCCAGCCCACTAAGCACAAACCACTTCTAATGAAGTCTATTTCTATGCTAACAATAAGTAAAATTTAATGAACTTAAATACTCTTACATAAGGAGAACTGCTCTAAAAATACAACCTTTCAATAGAGCAAAATATGGCCAGGTTAACAATTTTGCTCTGGGTCCCAGAATGTTAATTTAGTAAGAAATAAATAACTCCCAGCCTTTCATCTTATCTTTCTGACAGATGTTTCCCCTATAAAAAGGGTGTCATAATTGTTTTTGTCAGTGTTATAATTAAAATTGCTATGCAGCTGACATACAGTTTTTAATGGTTTCCCCTAGGATTATAGCAGATGTTGCCTTATTAGATCAGGGCTCTCCTGGAGTAAGAAATGTCATTGGCATAATCAAGACACATCTTTAAGCCTCTCAAAGTAGACTGTCACAATTTTCCCAGTAACATTTGACCCTAAGGGATGAAATATATCCTGCTTTTCTGAGGAGAAAGTTTTCTGAGGAGTTTAAAAGAAACACTGAAAAAAAAATACAGTTTTTGCTACAGCCAGAAATAGCTGGGAGATACAGGAGGAAGCCCTGACAACTGCACCAGCAAGGCCAAAGAAACCGTGTCTTTTTAATGGCAAAAATATTCACAGGCAACGGTAAAGAATCAGCTGAAATCTGGTGAGGAGCTGCACAATAGCAGTTAGTGGGCTCTTATTATAGGAAAAGTTACAACCCCATGACACAAGTGTTAATTTGAAATGGGACTTTAAATAAAGCAAGGTGTAACAGCAAGCTTGATTCTAAGGGCAGTTTGGATCTCTGGTGTTCACTGCAAATCCAGGGAAGTCAAGGGGGAAGCAAGAGGAAAGGGTGGCTCCAATGGTCAGCCAGCTGGGAAGGGCACATGGGTCCCTTGTCTGCAGGCACACAAAGTGTTTAATATCATAAAATAAATAAATAATATCATAAATAAATAATACCATAAACAAATCATTTGTAGGTGATTTGGCAAGAGAATCAGGCAAGTTAGGTGGTTCCAAACTAAAAAAAGCCACCCAATCCTGCTTGTCCACAAAATCAGAGGGAACTCACTTGGACAAAATAAATCCAGCAGAAAGTAACTTTACATTTTCATGTCACTGAGATCCTTGCAACTTTCCAAGGGCCACCAAATTTATTTTTTTTCCCCCAAGGTGTGAGGAACGCCAACTCCGTTTCACAGGCTGCAGCGTCAGGATTCGCAAGCTGCAGCTTCGCCGCGCCGCATCCCGTTTTATATTAAGAACTCCCCAAAATAATTGCGGAAGGTGCGACATGACATAATCCCTGAAGTTCCACAGCACCCAGTGTCGCAGTTTGCTGAGGAAAATCACAGAATCAGGGTGGAAAAGATGGCTTGAGAGCATCGAGTCCAACTTTTGACAGCGCACCAAACCGTGGCACCGAGTGCTGAACACCTCCAGGGATGGTGACTCCACCATCTAATGCCTTAATCAGCCTTTCTGTGAAGAAATTCATTCTTCAAGAAATTAATTCTTCAAGAAATAGTACAAATAGACTATTTCCATTTGTAATTTTAGGGGTTAACGCTCCTAATCTCACCCATCTCGACCAGAGGCATTAATTAAAAAACAAGCATGGAAAAAGTCCAGCATGAATTAACTCACGTATAGCCAGGGAGTGGGGAGGAAACAAAATTAAAAAACCCACCTTCGTTTTTTGGGATTGCCTTAAACCCCTTTTTTTCCCCCCCTTTTCCTCCCCGAGCCGCTCTTAGCATCCCCGGCGCTGGCGGAGCGCGGCTGTGCCGGTACCAGCGACGACAACAAGCGGAGGGGCCGGGCTTGAGGGAGGCGGGTCCGGCCGCCTCCCCCCGCCCGCTGAAGAGCGCCTGCGAGGGCGGCCGGGCGGCACAGCGCGGAGCGGAGCCGGGAGGCGGCAGGACCAGCGCAGCACCAGCGCGGAACCAGCGCAGCATCACCGCGGGCCTCCCGCACCAGCGGCCCGGCCGGCAGCGCCCACGCACCGCGGGCACCCGCCTGCCTTTCCCCGCCGCATCCCGCCCCTTGTGTGCCCCCCTGCTTTGGCCGGGACTCTCCGCCGGGATCAGCGTTGCTGCTGCTGTTGTGTTGTTGTTGGCCGGCGCGGCCGCATCGAGGATATTTTGGCTCGCCCAGAGGCAGCGGCGCCTCGATCCCTTGGACGCCGCGTGTGGGGCCGGGGCCGCCGCCGGGGAGGGAGCGCAGGAGCGCCGGCATCGGGGGCCAGGTGAGGCGGGGGAACGGAGGGGGAAGAAAAGGGAAAAGGGTTCATCGGGGTTCCAGGAGCTCTCCTTGCTGGTGCTCCCCTCCTCGCTGGTGCTTCCGACCCGTGGGCGCCGCGGCTTCTCCCCGGGGATGGCGATCAGAGCCCCGGCCTCCCCGGGTGCCGTGAGGGGTTGAGGGGAGCGGCCCCGGGCTCCTTCCCCGGGGGATGCCGCGGCCCCGGCAGGAAGGGGTTAATGGGCAGCGCGCTCTGGATTTGGTTAGGAGTTTAAAGGGAGTTAAAAAAAAAAAAAAAGAAAGCCGAAACGCTGGGCTGTGTGATCTGCCCACCGAAGTTTTTTATACGTGGGCGAAGCGTGTGTCATGTGTGTGAGGAGCCGGGCTGGCTCCCGGCGGAGCTCGGGGGCTGTACGGGGCACGCCGCTCTCTCCTGCACTCTTCCTAAGGAGGCTGCTTTTTCCACTGAAAAAAATTTGCCATTTAAAAGAAAAGTAACAACCAGCCATTATATCCCCCTGCCTGCTATTCCCCCTAAAAAAATTCCCTCAAAAAACCAAGGAGGAATAACACTGGAGGGACAGCTGAGCCATCAGCGCGCTTCCCTTGTCCATGTGGATGCTGCCCAGCTGTGCCCAGCTGTGGGCAGGCACCTGGCTGCTGCTGCTGAAAAGGCGGCGATCAGAATTCAGGAGTATTAGTTAATAAGTGCCTGATCCTGTTGACCCTGTTCTGGTTCACCCACTCAGCTATGCGGGGGTGTTGAGGAAGGTGTCCTGCCAGTTAAACCAATTATAGCTGGCAAGTCGCAGTCATCAGCATTAGTGGAGGAGTTGGAGGTGAGGCCCAGTCACACCGTGTTGGGCCGTAGTGGCTTTTCTGAATTATAAAAAAAAAAAAAAAGCAGTTTTTTAAGTCCAGCAGAAAGGCAGGTTTAACCCTCTGTGCCAATCCGTGTTGCCTTTCCAGCTCTGTTTGTCTGTAAGGGTTTCGTATCTCAGGGCTGGAAATTTGTGCTGCAGATGGGGAGAGCTGATGTGGGATGAGCAGAGGGTATAGAAATTCCTCTGCTTGAGATATTCGGCTGGAGTGTTGCAAAACATGCTGAGGATCTCCATGTGTTCCTCAGCCAGAGCTCGGGGTCTCATTTTTCCAAAGCTTTCCTTCAGAACAAACCCAGCGTGGAGAAAAACGGACTTGGGTTAATGAGCAATGCCGTGTAATCAACACTTGGTATAAACCTTTTGTCTTAGGGCCCTAAACGTCTCTAAAGAAACAACAACAAAAAAAAAAAAAGGCAGGAAGGAGAGAATCCTTTTTAGTGGACTGGGAAGTGCCTAACAGGATTTGTGGAGAGGTCAGAATTGCACTCAAGTGCCAGGAGTCTTATTTGTACTCCTAACCAGGGATCAGACCTCAATTTACAGAATACTCACAGAATATTTCCTCAAATACTCAAATCCCCGAGCCAGTTATCCCTGGGCACCAGAGCAGAATTCAAAGGCAAAACAAAGGGTGTTGGAAATCGCCATATACTTTTTTAAAAGCCCAGCCAAATGCAAGGATAAACAGTTGTTTAAACTGTGGCAAATTTAATGAACAGATTAGGATGCTTGCTGAGTGAGACTCACGCTGTGTGAAATTCTTTGCTGCTCAATGAGATGTGTAATTTAGATCAAATATTTGTACGTGCTGTTTGAGGTAAAAAACATCATTCACTAGATTGCACTTTTTGAGTAACATTAATGAATATTCTTTTCAGTGTCAGTTGATTTATTTTGTTTCAATTAGAAGGCCCAGTCAAGTTGAAATAGGCCTTTCATGTTAAGGACTCTTGCTGATTTTTTTTTTTAGTTTTATTTTTAAGTGATCAGCTATTTAAAAGGATGAAAGGGTTCCTTGTCTTTTGCTGTTGGATGTTTTATTTTCCCCTCTGTTTATATGGACAGCTTTTGAATGTGTTGCCATTTTCAACATAAGCTGGGCTTATTTTAAGATCCTAATTTACGATTTTTTCTGAATTTTAAAGTGATTTTTTTTCCCTTGTGTTAACAGGGTGAGTGATAGATTTGGCTTGTAGTAAGTGACCGCAGTTTAGTGGAAATCTTGATGGTGTCCTCTGTGATTTAAGTACAAGTGCATGTTTTCAGGCAGTTGCTGTGGAGCAAGGGAATTCACCCAATGCTGTGAAAAAAGGGAAGGAAAATTAAGAGTGTAGCTTGATAAGGTATCATTCTCTGACACCTGCATTGCTGCATCATGATAAACCTAAACAAAGGCCATAAAAGTGGCTTTATTCCTTATGTTTGATCTTTCCCATTCGATATTAATCTTATCACTCTTCTCCCTAAGTGATATATGGGGTAAAAGTCACACAGGCCTCACACAACTCTGTTCCTGGTCATAGAGGCAATATGATAAAGGTTTGACTTCAATGGCATGAACATATTGATAGTGGTCCCATTATCAGCCCTTTAAAAAGAGTGTTTTACTGCACTAACCCCTTTTCAATTGAAACTTAAGCCCTCTAAAGCTTTATAAATGCTTTAATCCTGTGTTTAGAAAATGTACAAGATAATGTGGTTTGGAGTAAAGGAGTCAAGGCCCGAGGTTGGGGACACTGGGAATTGGCTTCTCTGATTATTCCTGAAGGGGTGAAGGTGTATCACAGTGTCACTCTGTCACTCCTCTTCCTCTGAAAGCCAGAGTCTGAGGTGAATCATGGCCTGTGAGAGGGCACAAAAATAACACAAAACTGATTACCTCAGATAATGGGTGAAAAGTTGGAGCATAACCCAAAGAGACAGGTACTCAGAGAGCAAGGGGGTTGCTGTGGCCTTTGCAGGCAAACACAAATTCTGTGAAAGCTCTCCCAGCTAAAAAACAAGGTGGGAACTGCCCTGTGTGCTTGGGATGTTGGAAAAGCTTTCCCTGTGTCTCACTGCCAGAGCTGGATCTGGTAACATCTGGTAACATCTGCTTCCTCCTCCTTTGGCTGTGCGTTTAATGGGACCCCTCTCCTTTTTCAGATGAGTGACTTTGGGGTCAGGAACATGGATCAAGTGGCTCCTGTGTCCAACATGTACAGAGGAATGCTCAAGGTGAGTACCCTGGAGCTGGCAGCTCCCAAACCCAGCTGGGGCAGCTCCCAGCAGTGCTCCTGTTGTGTTCCTGCAGTGCTGGAACAGGAATTGGACAAGAAGTGAGCACAGGTTTCATTGCTCCCCTTTCATCTTCTGCCAGAGCATTCCCACTGAGTTCCACAGAGATGTGAAAAGCAGGGATGAAATGGGAAGGTGCAAATCTTGAACCCTCTCCCCCAACAAGGCTCCCTCTCTCCATTCCCTAAATTTAAAAGAGGCAGCAAGAACTGAGCTCAGATTTGCTGGTTTTGGTGGAACTTCTGCCAAAATAAAGGTTAAAGAATGGGCAGCAGGAGATCTTTAATTTGATGAGGCTGGCAGAGTCCTGTCCTGGTAGGACTGATCAGGTTTGGTACCTTCCTAAACCCAGTTTGGATTAAAAGTGGGTTGTTCACTTCCAACTGTTATTAATGGAAGTGAAATACATTGTAACAACTCCAAAAATCATTGTATTTCTTTGATCTTTAGGTAGACTGTGTCTGTTACCTTGTTTTGAAAGGAATTTACAAATTGAGGTTTTTAAATTTACAGTCTCTTAAGACCGTGAATTTACAAACAGTATTTTACAGAAATTTACAATTTAAATTCTTACAGAATTTACAAACTGAGGTTTTTAAATTTACAGTCTCTTAAGACTGAGCCTTTAGAGCACCTGTAAAGGCTCAGTTCATGCAAGTTGCTCTTTAATCCCAGTATCAATTTTTTACACAGCATTGATCAATGTAAAGATCAGGGAGACCCTTTCTGCTCTGAGTAGCTTTGAGGAATGACCAAAGTTTGAAGAATCAGTGAGGCTCTGGGATGTTCACTGCTCTGATGCTTTAGGTCCCCTCTTAACCTTTGTTTTTCTCCAAAAAAAAAATCCAGGAGATCCCAAATTTAACATCTGTGTGCCCTTAGCACAGTGGTTGCTCTAAGATGTTCAGTTTTCATAGAATTAAGTCAGAGATTTGTGTTCTGCTGTGCTGTGGCTGTTCACATTCCATTTTATTTCACCCTGCAATAATTACATGTATTGGAAAGCCAAACAAAGTAGTTGCGAAACTGATAGGACGAGCAGAATTCATCCTGCATTGTGTTTTTCCTCTTTTACTACTATGAAATGAAGAACATGCTTGCACATTAATTTTCTCCCTTTTGAAATCTGAAACCAGCACGGTATGGATTTTACTCATTCACATGCCACAGCATTTTTTCCAGTGACTCAGGAGAAGGGTCATTTACACAAAATGCAGGAGTTTCCAGATTGTGTTGAAAGAACTTGCCCTTTCTTTTAGGTACTAGAGATGAGTCAGAGCTTTTATCTAGTAATGTATAAAGAATCTTTTACCAGCAGATTTGGTAGATGTTAACTTGTTTTATTCAGACATGAGCCTTTCCAAGGCTGCCTTTGACTTAGGGAGAACCTGAAACAGAGCTCCACGATTTGTCCCTGCTGTCCAGGAGATTTTTATGTGAAAAATTAGGGAATGAGAGGGAAAATTAATCCAAATTTGCTGTTGCATTAACATAGTTTAGGTTGCTTTTTGTATTGCACGTGAATACTGCCCTGAAAATCTTTACCTTGTCCTCAGCTAAATCCACTCCTTTGGCACAAGCTGGCAAATCAGTATTTGCCTAAACCAAACATTTGCAAGTTGCCTTTGTCTCCAGCCATGGGCCAGCTGCAGCTTTCCAGAGCAATGTTCTATCCTCAGGTGCCTTGAAAAAAATCTCAGAGGCAACTTTTATCCATCTTTGCCTCAAGATGTTGCAGATAGGGTTTCCCTGTGACTGACAAGCAAGTTTCATAAGTTGTTTTTGAAGTTATTTCCTCCTCTGCTCACATTCCTTCTGCCCCCCAAAGACTAAAGTGGTTGAGGGGAATTTAGTAATTTCATACCAGTATTTCTGGCACATTCAGTTGGCTCAAGTCAAGTTTGAAAGGAATTACATTTTCAAAATATAACAATATTTCTTGAATGTCGGTATATCAGTAGAAACCAGTTTTATCTGGAACATTTTTATCAGTCTTGTTTATCCCTTGCTATAAAATGAAAGTAGAAGTGTTTCACTGAGCATCTGAGCACTTGAAAGACTTCAAATTGTGGTTGCTGGCAAACCCAGTAAGGCAGAAGGGTAAAAGTTGCTGTAACATCCATCCTCAAGTCATGTAAAGCTGGCTGTGTAGCTTCAATTGATGTGGTTCAGATTTAGAAGAAAAAAACAAATTCATAAACCTACTGTAGGTTTTGTACTGGCAGTTTGCCCATAATTTACTGATCTGCCATCAAATCCTCATCGAGTGGCTAATCAATTTAAAGGGTTAAGGAAATGAGGATTTCTTTAAAATGCACCTGGAAATAAATAAGTATTTATACACACATGAGCATTGTCTATTGTTAAAAGCCTCAATTACAGGAAATAAACCCAAGAATATCTTGATTTGGCTTTACTGTAAGCTGCAGCACATCCCCCACCTCGAGGGCCCTTATCAGTGGCTTTTATTCACGTAGCAGAAGCTGTGCCCTCATTGTGGTTGCATTTCAAAGCTGCCTCATTCAAGGTAGTGGTTGTGCATGATCTCCAGATCTAGGAAACCAAACCCAGACACTTCCTAGCAGAGGAGTTCACAGCTCTGCAGCAGAATGCTGACGTGGTTCTGTGTTTATTCTGTTCCCCTGCAGCGTCAGCCAGCGTTTGACACCTTTGACAGCTCCAACTCGCTTTTTGCTGGATATTTTTGCTCACTCAGTGAAGACCAAACGCTTCAGGAAGTGCCAACAGGATTTGACTCCACTTCTTATGGTAAATCTTCACTTTGCTCCTTGGTCCACTTGGTAGAGCAGATATTTTTGTGGTTTAACTAACATTTCCTGGGTGGTTTAATGCACAGACTTCTGTGTACATGCTTGGTTTTATTCATGTGAGTTTCTTTGTGGATAGTTGTTTTCTATACTGAAAAGAATTAGGAACTGGGATGCAGTAGCCTAATAGTCTGGTTTTTCATGGAAGAAGCCATAGTAGGAGTTTAAGCAGAGCTAAGAGTTTAAAAATGTTTAAAAAGAGGGTTTTAATGTATTTAAATTTGCAACATCTCAACCATAATTAAAGTGCAAATATTCTGAAAGCTTTTCGATTCTCTGGTGTTGAATCTCAGTATGTTTTATTCCATACTTCAAAAAACAAGGCGGGGATGTTCTAAGATTTTTTTTTATTATTATTTGTGTGTGTGTAGGTCAGTATCCCACCAAGAGTGCCCTATATATCCTTGCCAAAAATCCCTGACAAAATGTAGATATTTTACCTGATGCTGCTTTTATCTCCCCTTAGGGAAAGGAAAAAAACCTCAAGCCCTCAAACCCAGAAAACCACAGGTCCTTTGTTCTAGTGTGATTCTAATCAGTCACCTGCTCTGGTCAGCAAAGCAAGTGCTTGCAGATATTAGGAGGGGTGTGGTAAAAGCAGAAGTTAAGCACAAGTGCAGCCTGTAGATAGTCTGGGAGAGCAAGAGGAGCTGCACAGCTCTGAACGGGCTTGGAATCTGCCAGGAGTGACTGGCACAGTGGGAGCTGTCCCTGCCCATGGCAGGGGTGGCACTGGATGGGCTTTAAGGTCCCTCCTAGCCCAAACCATTCTGTGACATCATCCTGTGATAAAATGAGGCATCTTCTGGTAAAAATTGACCAATAGAAAAGCTGAGTGGGAGCTGAATTTATCCCTAAAATAGAATCTTCTTGTAAATTTGAAAGCCAGTGAAGCAGATCAGTGATTTTTACTGACATATAATGGTGCCAGCTTTGTGGTTGGATGCATTATTCACCCCCAGCTTGTTACCAGTCACACTTGTTTGGTCCAGATGATGGAATAATCCATTGCACCATGTGCCTGGGTGATGAGATGTGATAAGGTCTGAAATGCAGTGTTGAGTAGTGCAAGCTGGCTCTTCACAACCCTGCTGTCAGTTACTGAGCTCTCAAATTAAATAAAGATTGTCTGGAGTCGCAAAGAAGTCTCAGGGCAAATTATAGGTGGTAAAAGAGGAATAAGCAGTCTCATTTCCCTTAAAAAAATAATCAAGTTTCCCTGCAACAAAGGCACTTTATGTAACTACTGAGAGTAAATAAGGATCTATGCATGGAAAGCTGCAAAGCTCTAATTAGTGATGCAGTCTTATCAAACGAGTAGCACAGAGATTTTAGAGCATGGAGATCTCTGTTTTTAAAACTCCAACTTTTTAGCATGTTTTTTTTTTTTTTTTTTAATTCTTCAAACAGTAAAAGCCAATCAGTCCTTTCAGTGCCCTGAAGTTAATGTGTCTTCTTCCTCCCCTACACCCCTTTTCTTTTCTTGCAGAGTCGAACAACTGTGAATTGCCTCTGTTAACCCCGTGCAGCAAGGCTGTGATGAGTCAGGCCCTGAAAGATACTTTCAGTGGTTTCACAAAGGAACAGTGTCGGCTGGGTATCCCAAATAGTAAGTGTTTGCTATTTATAAGCTCTTTTTTTTTTTTTTTTTCTTTTAATGCTAAGGAGGAGGCTGAATAGCTGCTCTTTGAAAAGGCAAGAATGATGTCAGTAGGAAATACAAGAATGGATCCTATGTGAATCTGGCACAGCTTGCCTTGGAGAGGCCAGACTTGCTGGTGTTAAAAATGGGTGCATGGAGAGCTCATGCTTTGGCAGCAGGAGAGAGCCAAGCAAGCTGAGGACATCTCTGGTTGAAAGTGAATGCAGAAAGAAAAGGGAGAACTGAGTTGTTTGGGTTTTTTTGTAAATTCAAGAATACATTCATTCTGAATTCATTCAGAACTCAATAACTTGGCTAAACAGTTTTAGGTTTTTTTTAATTCACTGTTTTATAAGGAAGATATTTGACAAGGGCCAGGAGTTATCTCTAAATGTTGGATCCTTCCTGTCTTGCAGATCCGTGGCTATGGACTGAACAACAAGTTTGCCAGTGGCTTTCATGGGCTACCAATGAGTTCAGCTTGGCAAATGTGAATTTCCATCAGTTTCTTATGAGTGGCCAAGACTTGTGCAACCTGGGCAAGGAGCGTTTCCTGGAACTGGCACCTGACTTTGTGGGTGATATTCTGTGGGAACACCTGGAGCAGATGATAAAAGGTAGTTAGAGAGCCAGAAAAAGCTTTTGGTTTAGGGCTTTCCTAACAGAAATGGGACTCAATTTCAACACTGGTTTCACTATGAGGGGTTTTATTGCATATGAAAACTCGAAATGAACTTTTAAACTTGCGTAATAACAGCATTATCAGCACTGTCAGTACATCCTTGGTATGCCAAGCACAGATGCAGATGACTGCAGACATTCTGTGTGCAAGCTGAGTAGATCTGTGGGCAGGTTTTATTTGGGAAAATCACTGGAATAAGTGAAATCGGGGCACAACCACTGTAAATACCCCATAAATAAAGCAGTTAACCCCATAAATACAAACTTAACCAACCTTAAGGCACATTGCAATTATTGTTGGTTTTAAGTTTAATGGGAAAATTCAATTGGTGGGATGGTTTTTAAAGCCTGTTGGTTTTTTTTTTTGGTATGATTTCTGTCATGTATGAGAATGTAATACAAATAGAGCGTGGTACTAAAATTTTTGTGAATGTACCAAAATACTCCCAAGAGTCAGGAGCTTTCCATGGCATACAGGTTGGATCTTTAAAACTATAAAGCCAATTTTTTTCTTTTTCTCCTCTCCCCAGACAGCCAAGAGAAAACACAGGATCAGTATGTGGAGAACTCCCACCTCACCTCGGTTCCTCACTGGGTCAATAATAATTCCTTAAGTAAGTGTTTTTAAAAATTCATATTTTGCATCTCTCAGTTTATTCTAAGCATGTCACAGATTCCAGGGTAGAAACAAAAAGCACCAGAATAGTTACTGTGCTTGAGGAGAACATTTGACTTCAGCTGCTCCAGCCTTTCCTTGTATTGTTCAATTGTCGCCTAATTTATATCGGAAATTGTTTGAAGAGCAAAGGCTTTGAGAAAATGAAATTTCCTCTTGCTATGCCAAGCCCTCCATGTGTGGAGCACAATGACCACTCCCATCTCTAGCAAACAGAGGCAAAAACTGAGAAGCAGCAAGAATTCTGTTTAGGCCTTTTTAAATGCTCTGAGAGCGTGCTAGAGCTGTTGGGAGTGTGTGGGATGCAGTGCTGGCTCCCTTGGATTGTTTGATTGATGGTGTGTTTTATTCTACCACAGTCAGCCTTCAGCTCAGCCTGATTACACCACTTAATAGGGAGAGCCTTGCTCAAAACCGCTTAAAACTTCCCCAGTTTTTTCTGTAGTTTCCTTGAAGAATGAACAATGGGCATTTGTGGCTGGCAAGTTAGAGAGGGGGATTTGCAGAATCTGATTTGGTGTATTTAGTGTATTAGTTTGTTTAAGGGTCTCCAGGGGAAAAATCATCTAATTCTTTGGTTTCTTTTTTCAGCTGTTAACATAGATCAGAATTCCTATGGAATGCAAATGCCTGGATACCCTAAACCCCTCAGTTATCCCAAACCCAGTCTCCTGACTGACGTCTGTCAGACTTCCACGGCACCGAATCTCCTCAACCCAGAACAAGACTTCCCATTGTTCCCTAAAACCCAAGCAGATGCTGTTGGTGTGAACTACTGTGCAGTAAACCAAGATTTCCCAAGGAACAATCTCAATTTGCTGATGGATAACTCTGGTGAGTCGTTATCTGCATGATAACCATGGGGGCCAAGGCCATGTTCTGAATGCCTCTTCCTCCTTTGCATGGTTTATATGGACATGCTGGATTGAGGGAAAGAAACCATCAACACTTTTTTATTTATTATTTTATTTTTCTATATTTTTATTTTTATTGTTATCTATTTTTATTTTTCATCCCTATGTTCTATATATGTTCTATATATGTTCTATATATGTTCTATATATGTTCTATATATGTTCTATATATGTTCTATATATGTTCTATATATGTTC